TTACTAATCAGCACAGCCTTGCAGCACAGCCCTGTGTTACCATAGCAACATGTCTGAGTACCCACATATTCCCCTTTTCTGAGGTGTATCTAGACTACTCTGACCGTCTGATCCATGATATGTGATCATGATAGTGTAGTGAACAGTCAAATGTGTACATAAATAAAACTATTACACTACCAAAAAATATATAAATACTAATATGAGTCAGTTCTGAGTACTGGGAAAGAAACTAGCATATCTAAGGATCGGCTACTATGATTGTAGTCACGCAAGTTGTACTCTATAGTAATTGTGAGTGGCTATCTATAGACTACCTTCGTGTTTCCCGCATGCATTCTACGCGTCTCGCACCTAAATGCTTTAGGGGCGGGACAACGTCATTCAACAATACGATTTGGAATGCACATGGTGCTGGAGGTGGTTGCAAGTAAATCAGCACGGTATGTGTGTAGCTCAGATGTTCCTCTCTCCCCCGGTAGTATCTTTACGCTCATTTGTCACGATCAAGATCGTATCACCGTCCTGCGTCGCTCCCGGATGTGCCTTCCGCATTAACATGCCTTTGGCCAAGCTTGACCTTGTGGTTTGCGGGCTGATGGCTCGTCATCGCGCTTCAGGGAATCTGGGCGCAATATCGCAGCCGTCCAGCGGAATCCCAATGTGAGCGGTTTAGTGACGGCACATAGAGGACGTTGGGGATGGTGTTCTTAGTACTGATATGTAACACTACCTTATGTCCATGTATTCCATGAGGTCGCGCCTCGTCGCCACTAAAGGCACCTGGTCATATAGTAACTCAGTACTGCTGTCATTGTTTCAGCCAGACAATATACAATTTTTCCTTCACCCTATAGGAATGTCAACGTCAGTATACCCAGAGGTGTCTGAATATCCTCGGGACTTAGGTGAGGTGCTCATTCTTCGACTTGGGCACAAACGCAGGCTCGGCCGTGCGGCCGAACTCGGTATTCAAGCTCAGAAGGACATGCCGGCGAGTCGGCAGGAGGAGATTCATGTTCATAATCCAGACAGAATCCGGGGATGTAGCGGGGGGTTCAAAGTTGAGAGTCGGATTATGGCGGTGTAGCGACACGAGAATCGACACAGAATCGACACATAATCAGACGCATAATCAGCCCATAACCGCCAACTTTGAGGCCCCCTATTTTTTTCAGCATTTAGATCATACTTTCATGAGGCAAAAGCTCAGATGCCAGTTTACAATCTTTGGGCTGGTAATGCTACGAAGGTTTTGAAGTTTTATAAGTTTTTTTCATCACCTTTAGAATCAAAAATGCAGTCACAGACTCAGTGAGATACTATATGATATTGTCTCTTCAGCCGGATGGTCGAATCGGCCAGTCACACACACGTCACACCTCCACGCTCAAAGATTTCGTACTCCGCTCGAGGTGGCCGATTCGTCGTCGCACCGTCGTACCAAGCTGAAACTTGCGGTCGATTACGAAGATGCACACTACAGTAATGAATAGTATGTGCAGGTAACAATAATGAAAGAAATTCACAATATGATATGAGCCTGTACCGTAGTGATTAAGATTCGAACCTCGCAACAAGTACGTTTGGATTTGACAACCCCGGGCAATCAGAGAAGGCTCTGTTCGACGTTGTCTCTAGAGGTGTTGGATGTGGTGTGGAATTGGGGCGGGCTCCATGGGCGAAGCATCTGGAGAGCTTGAATAGGCCTGCAAAGCGAGGATTCAAAGCAAGATCTTGGTGTGTCTCGAGATGTGAATCCTTGGGATGATTGCCCGGACAGGGCCCTTGTCGTTGACGTGCAGTGCCTGCGCCAGCCCGACGACGACCTCTCTGGTTCTGTAGGCATTCAGTGGCTGGTTGAAAACCCTTGACGATGCAGCCTGTACAATACAAGCCTCACGCTTGGCGGCTTCAACAGCTTTTGCATGCTCCTTCTCACGTGCCTCCCTCTCCTTCTCAGCAGCGACACGTTCTTCCTCCTCAAAATGAGCCTTAAGCTCTTGGGCAACAACAATCCGGCCCTTGATTTTGGTAGAGCCATGTACCCGCTTCTTGTTCGCATTTGCGAGCCGAACCTTTTCCTCCTCGAGTGCAAGGCGAGAAACCTAGTCCCTTCCTTTTCAGCATCTTTTCCACAGGAAGCAGATGTACGTATGCCAACTGCGATAGCAGCCGCTCTTGCACTCTTGTATTTACCGCTCAGCACTCCGTCTTTTGCTTCTTTGAGCTTGCTTTCATACAGATCATCTGTTTTGCTTTGATGCTGTCTGTGAAAGCTGCGCTGCTGCACACAGTGGCGGGCGATGTCAAGCTCACCTGGTTGAGTCTGGGTAAGTCTCAGTCTGTGGAGGACAGAAGTAAAGCGACTTGTATTGCAACACTCAGACAGGCCTGTATATATACTACAGAGAGTGGCTATGCGGTGCAATCACATGCTAAGCTATAGAACAATAAAGAAGGCTGTGGAACGTAGCAACGCACAGCCTATTGTGTCAGAAATAGATACAGCTGTGCCGAGGATGGCAGTCAAGGCGGGCTGTGCCAGCGCCTGTGAATCGGTGGCTGTAGAGCGCCAATTCAACACTGTCATCCAAGTTGGGTACCGTTTGCTTTGCTACGTCGTTGGTTACGGTCTGCACCCATCGACGGAGCAATAATAACACGGGAACGATTAAACACGTATCTACCTTTGCATTTGTGCCCAACGCGTCGCGACGCTGGCGACGCGTTGAGTATTAAAACTCCGCCCGGCTGTCATCCGGCATTGCCGGCACCTCATCACGCAGCGTTACTTGGACAGTGTCGTCCACCGCACTGTCGAGCAATGTAACTCATGATATTATTCCTGGGATATCACTGAGAGTACACTACATGAACACAGTCAGAGTATAGGGCCAAAAAACGCAGCGGAGCACGACATATAGCAGGGTGGCCGATTCGACGATGTGGCCGAAGTGATGATCTCATATAGTACAGAGTGCGGACAAAGTGGGTGCCGCAGCCCCGAAATATTTGCCGACAAAAACGTGCCGATTAAAGCCAAAAAAATGCCGACAATACGACTCATTTTGGGTCAGTGAATATTCCGACTGTATTAACGGGGGTCCCGTTGTGTTGCGCCAGGCTGATTGAGAATATATAAGGCTAGCGAATACAGTCTACTGCACGACCAAAGGTAGCACTAGAGCTACAGTATGAGCAAGACACGCAAAGCCGTTCAATCTGTCGATAACTAAGAAACAGGCAGCTCTCTATAGCGCATCACCCCGATGCCCCTGCTGAGCCGCCATGGATATGTAAGAACCCCAATCGTCCCACCTGGAATTTATCAGCACTTCGTACTTCCGAGTAGGCAGAAATCACGACTTACTCGAATCCACTAGGTGCGTTGGACCACATGGCAATGGTGTCGTTATCCGGCATCGACTGTCCGGGTGGCTGGTAGCCTTCATAGCCCGCGGTGGACATGGGCGGAACCCCGGTGACGGGACCAGAATCCGCAAAACTGGACATCATCTGGTCGTATATGAGTGGATCCATAGGGAATGCTGACATCGCGCCCATAGAATTCGCGAGCGGTACGCTCGGGGCATTGCTTGGTCCCGCGTGCGGAGCGGATGCGTGTGGGGATGCAGGCGCGGCTGTACCATATGTGGGCCCGGATGTGTTCTGATACCACGAAGAAAGTGGCGACGGGGCGTCTGAGGATGATCCGTTATCCGATGGCGTAGCCGCAGTGGGGTGCAACGGGATGCGTCCGAGGTCCTCGCTGTGTACAGGGAGTGCGTATAAGTGGGACGTCGAGCGCGCAGGCTGCGCTGCTGCGGACGTGTGATTTGACACGCGTCGTGAACCGGCGATGTTGCGGGGCGCCTCGGGTTGTTGGCGTGCAGTCGCTGAAGCAGATGATGCAATGGTCGCGCTGTCCGAGGTGATCGGCTCGTCCGAGTCTCGCTCGCGTTTGAAAGTCGGTCCAGGGCTGGATCGTGGCAGTGGCAACTCGCTGACGGAGGCCAAGTCTCTGAGTATGTCCCTGGAAAAAGAGGTCGGGACGGATCGTCTCATGTACAATCAAGGTACCTACCACAGACGCCCTCCTGAATGCCACCTAGTATGAGAGTACGGACTTAGCATGAAGCTAAAATCGAGATGGAGAGGACATACTTTGATTCGCACAGCTTCAGGACTTGCATGCACTTGTGCACGTCTGCCATCTCTTTCTCGGGATTACTTGACGCGCCTGAACGCTTACCACCCCAGATATTGAGCAGAAGAACGATGCCCGAAGTGAACGCATAAATCTATCCAAGCTAGTTGAGAAGAAAAATCAGACGCGTTCGTTTTAAACACTGACCAGAGTGAACGCGGATGGTTTGTTGTCACAGCGTCTGCGATGTATGTCGATCACATGGCTGGATGACCTAGCAGCGTTCGTGCAGATAGCGAGGGAGGGGAACGAAAGCGGTGAAGGCTTGCGAGGGGAAGGGATGAAAGGCCGGTGGATGATGATCTGCAGATTATAATACTCCAGGTGTAAGTACGCCGATTGATTGAAGAAAAGCATATCCTCCCGCTTCGGATCCCAGCGCACTGGAAGGGATAACCGTCAACGATGGTGTAATAATTTTCCAACATGCACATACAATGGTCGGGAACGGAGTCAATCCACTTGTTCAGGGCAGAATCAAGCTCGGCGACGATATGCTGTTCCCACTGTTGGCCAACGAAGCCAAGGAGAACCTTAGATTTATTGATCGAATACTGTTATTCCATGTCAGTGAGCGGATCGAAGGCTGGCGAGGGTGGGCTTACAATGGTACGTAGTGCAAACGCGAGTATCTGGTTCAACTTGATGCGGCAGATGAAGTACGTCACGCTCGAAGGCTTGCCCTCAGGTTGTTTGAAGGCCTTCTCGGGATCGTCTGACTCCCAGTACTCGTCGTCGCAATCTGCTGGCAAATCTAGATCGAAGCTTCGGGATATAACCTGAGCATGAGTATCATGCCGTATGATCTATATATACTTACTCTTCGTCTTGCAATGCACATGGGCGACCTAGACCGCAGCATATTTGACGGTCCAGAGTGATGAGAGCCCTGGGGAACATGAGACGGACGATCGTGGAGCCTACGTCGAGGCGGCATACCAGCAAGCACGTTTCCATAGCTCATCTTCTACCGTCAACTTCGGACCATAGACTTTGCGTCGGTGCGCTCCCACGTCCTGCGCCAGGCGAATACCAATTCCGGCCATCGTCCAGCATGCTTGCGGCGACGACGACCCATGAAGGAAGATCACCGACAACTATGCCAAACTGTTAGGTTGCTGCTACTACAGACGTCTGTTCGTACTCACTGCATACGCTTGCAAGTCGTGGAGACAAGGAGGAGCGAGCAGACTCTTCCGAACGACCTGCACCTGGTTGAACCATTTCCAGCCGGCGGAATGTGTACGTGCGAGCCCGGAACGTTGATCTTCAAGGAAGACGCGCGGATCGTCACACCACCGCGAGGCGATAGCGCATACAAGCAGTACCGTAGACCCAAAACCGTCGTCGCGAAGGTGCAGTCCCTCAGAAATGCCGCGAATGAAAGTCGGACGGTGGAGGAGGGGGAGATACGGATTGACTTCGACGAAGTAGATGTCGGTGAGGGTTGAGATCAGGTCGGCATCAGGGAAACGGAATGTAGCACGTTCCTCCTCGAAGATGGCAAGCTCGTACTGCGACGGTACACGTAAGCACAGGTGCGTGAGTGATGATGAATCGAGGACGCACTGCTTTCGGTTTCCAGAATTCGCGACGCTCTGATTCCGTCTGAAGGCTGAGGAACCGTTCCTTGGTTTCCTCGACCGTGGGTTTGCGCTCTCCGGCGTATTCGCTCTTCAGGTCCAGAGCGGTTTGCAAAAGGCGGATTCCGCTGGATTTTCCGAAGAAACGCGGATGGACCGGGTCCAGGCGGATCTGCTTCATTGTCTGAGTCAGCGTCATGTGGACGAGCTCGTCATCGCTTGGCTCGAGTCCGTCGTCCTCAGTGAGCTCTGAAGGGCCCGGAGGGATATGACTGCCGCTGGAAGTGATGCCAAAGCCAGATGAATGGGATGCAAGAGTCGGGGAGCCCCGGCCAGACTTAGGAAGGATCACACTAGAGCCTCTATCGCGAATCCAAGAGTCTTTGTCGAGTGGGCCTCCGAGCTCTTGTGAGAAGTCGCCGTTGGGACATAGCTGCTCGATTCCGACGGGGATCAGGTTGGTAAATAGCCTCCACGGATGTTACGCACCTTCTGGAGGAGTTTCTCCATTTTTTCCAGACGGTTCTCCAAGCTTTCGACATATCTTCCATCGCAGAGGTTAGTCTCGGATTCATACACAGATGCTTTTTACGGACCCTTTAGGCGGGCCGCGTTTCTGTGGAGTATAGCTCAGTCATACGAGGGGTCATTGCCAAAGAATCATCCACACCTTAGCGGCCTCGACGTAGGTACACTCGAAATTGTATGCGATGCAATTTGAGCACCGGTTCTTGGGCATCTGCGCGCCATCACCTAGGAGTGTACGGATTGAATCAATGGAGGTCAGAGGACCGTGATTGTGCCGCGAGCTCACATCGAACTAGTCAGTGGCATGAGATCAGCCGGGCAAAATCCGCATTAGACTATGGTAACGCGCTCACTTTTCTTCCTCCTACAGACATCGCAGGCTCGCTGGATCTTGCGGCGCTTCGCGCCCTGGTCAGTGTCGTCTTCAGCCGAGGACATGGTATGGATGAGTCGTAGTAGATGACAATGGAAGAAAGGGAGGCAGTCCCGAAACAAGATAAATGTGTACAGCTCCGGCTCGAACGCTGACGCTGACTTGCCGAGCGTCGCCTGCCGCAGCACGGCTTAAATTAGCCCCTCGGTTGTCCCTTCGTCCGATGCTCGCGGTCTTCCACTCTCTCCGCGTTGTGCAACTGTCCGCCGTCAACATCAACAACGATTGCTGCGCCATCTGCTCTGGATGTCGCGCTCAGCGCTCACAAACGTCTGCGAGGAGCTATCCACTCGACCCATGCTTGCCCATCCCGATTGAACCATCTGGAGATTACCGGAAAGAACGTGCAGCCATATCCTCCGATCTCTCGTATGACACTGTCGGTCGATTTTTACATGACCGGAGCTTATTGGACTTCAAGATGCGGTTTTGGCCTCATCAGAGCTGATTTGCAGCTGATAAATATTAGCGACGAATTCAATTCGCGGCCTCTCATTGGTGGAGAAGCAAGTTGACCGAGGTTTCCGTATATAAATATTGGCTGCAAATCAGCTCTATCGGATTGGTGTCACCAAGCTTCCGGTGCATGCGGCACAGCAGCCAGTTCGTGACTCTGTGCTCACGATACGCCTCCCAGATCGGAAGCGGAATCGTACCATCGTAACCGTGAAACACGGACAATGCAGCTTAGCTAGTCTTTCAACAAGCCTAAGGGGTCAGCCACTGTACCCTAGCGTTACCTTCATAGGCTGACTGGATTGCGGCATCTGCTCGTGGCGACATGTGATCGATGCATCCTTGAATCATGCGATGTTCCATCGTGATTCATACGCTCAGTAATCCGCGCCTTCGCCAGCCGTTGTACGTAAGGCATCTCATGCGCCACTCCCGCTGCTGTTAAACAGAAGAGGACAAATGCGGGACTCGCGGCGTCTCTGACTCTGACTCAACCGATAGCGTTGACGTCATTGGGTGTGAAGAAGTGCTACACTATGGATCTTCTGGTTGGTACTGCTTACTGAACAGGATCACTAAGGGCTATGTGTGAGATTACCGAAGTAGAACACGAAGAGTACAGTACATCCAGTAGAGAGTGATGGTAGGGCGAAGGTCTGCTGCGCGGGTGGGTACCACCTGCGAAAGGAGGACCTTGAGCTCCAAGGCCCGCAGTGGTCCAATGATTTCGGACCCACTCGTGCCAAGGTGCTATCGAAAGGGTTGGGTGGGTGGGCGACCAAAAACCGAAGTGGCGGCGGCGACAAGAGGTGGGATGCACCGACGCCCGCCCCGAACTCAAACCAACTACGGCGGGCGGGTGCTCCCACCCTTGTCGCCCCATGACGCTCTCCTGTCCTCTGATAGGCGGACACTCGTACCTCGCGTCCTCCTATCGCCTAGTAGCCGGCTAGAAGGAGCCCTGCCGCTGGATTGACACCATGATAGCGGGCATATATACTAACTTACTCACCTCGTTCGCTATGCATCACACGACCCCGAGTTCGAGATGCTGCTCTGGCTGATGCAAGACTTCCTTTTACTGCCATCATGACATGCAAATGCTAAAGCTTGAAGCGCTGGAGTCCCATCGATTCGAGCGGCTCCAGGCCTAATAAATCCGTCCATATTCCCAGAGAGATCACTGAACCCACTTCTCACAGACGTCATTTTGTACTGACCATGATGTATATGCAGGAACCCCGTGAGTATACACATCTCCTTGTTCTACTCCAGTGTCGCGTCATGATCGCGATAGGGACTTGAGGGGCATAATTCGAACTATGACCACAGATTTTTTGTCATGGACCGGGCTGGCGGACGCGAAGTGGACAGACTCGATTGTGCTGCAGTCGAACAAAATCGTGTTCTGGACGTCGTGTAATTCTGTAATTAAGTAAGTAGCACATTGTAGCTCCCCAAGCTCGAGTTATCACGACATCAATCAAGTACTTACGTGAACATTAGTCCTCAGAGTGTGTGACTTGTGTTGACATCAATCAAGTACTTACCTGAACATTAGTCCTCAGAGTGTGTGACTTGTGTTTGAGGATTTGAGTTACCTCCTGTGTGTGCAAGCTTCATAGGATATAAGGTAAGTTATAGGAAACTTGCGTTACATTAAGGCGCCGGCGAGTTCACCGTGGCTATGTAGCACAGCCGGAGAACGCCGAACCATCGCATCCCTGTGTCAGTCCTCCGCTGCACCCACTCGTAAGTTCCTCAAGGCATTCCTCCGCGACCCTCACCAAAGTGAGTTTGCATGTACCTCGGATAGGATTGAAAAATGCCGCTCTCGAAGTCTGGAATGCGTTGGAGGTCATGCGATGGATGGATTGGAACTGGGCCTTCCGGATGACGATGAACCGTGGTGCTGACTTGAGTTTGCTCTTGCTTAGCCGGAAATTGTGCGAAGGATTCTTCGCAGTGGGTGGCTTCTTGTATCGTTGCTTGCAAGTCGCTGATCTGAGACCCAGCTTCCGCCGACAACACCCACCGCCCAGCATGATCATTTCCAAGCAAAACAGGCGCGTCATCTACGAGCACCTGTTCAAGGGTGCGTCCCATTTTACTCCTGGCACTCTGTCAGACTGACGCTCTAGGAAGAGGGTGTCCTTGTTGCCAAGAAGGACTACAACGCACCGAAGCACGAGGAGCTTGACATCCCCAACCTCGAGGTCATCAAGGCGCTGCAGAGCCTTACCTCGAAGGGCTACGTCAAGACTCGGTTCTCGTGGCAGTGGTACTACTACGTCTTGACCCCGGAGGGCGTTGAGTTTCTGCGTGAATGGTGGGTTGTTAAGTCCACTCCCATGTCGTACAACCTTCTCGTTTTCTTCAGCGTTTCCTTGATCGAGTGCAGCATGCTGATCGTCACGCGTCTAGGCTTCACCTCCCTTCTGAGATCGTCCCCGCCACGCACAAAAAGGCTGCTCGCCCTCCTCGCCCTGCCGCCGTGCGCCCCGGTGCTGGCGAGGGTGCCTACCGCGCGCCTCGCGGCGACCGCGACGACTACCGCAAGAAGGAGGGAGGTGCTCCTGGCGAGTTCCGGCCGCAGTTTGCCGGCGTCGGTCGGGGAGCGCCCAGGGATTAAATATATTGCCCACGCGCAATACCCATCCTCGACTGCTGGGGTCGACTCGACGAATCACAGGAGAGGGACCATCGGTGGAGATGCATGTAGTATGACGATAGGACGACCATGTGGGCTCGTATGCACTATGCGCAACTTTCTTATCTTGTGCAACTTTTACACAAGAGTCTGACCCCGCACGCCGAAGATTTTCTTATGGATGCGATTTACCCCGTGTCCGAATCATGCCTCCACGGGATTTATGTGATATAACGGACACACAAGCTCGATCTTCCGAACTGCCGCATTTATCTCGGACGTCGTTCATCGGGCGTCCATGTCTAGATAATGATTCGTGCATGATCACAATGGGACCGTTTCATGGCAATTATCCTAGACAACAGAGCTCCAGTGCGTCTTGTGAGATCTCCTGGATGTAGAAACATATGTAAACCACCGCCGATTCATTACAAGCTGGCCCCTGTCTGAGCCCCAATGGGTCCCAATGATTTGTCCGAATGACACTGTTTCTGCTCTCAATGCTCGTGCAGGCAGCAGCATTCACCAACCCCGATGCATATGCATACGAATGGTTCACACCTTGCAGAGCGGCGCCTACCGCTGTTTTATGAGGCTAAGACCGAACATGATTGATCCACGTGGTAATAGATGCCTGCAATTGAATCTCCAGGTCTTGTCCTGATGGCATCGTACCGTAAACCCGTTTACCAATGCTAGGTGCTTGACAATGCCAGGTGCTTGACAATGCTAGTTGCTTGACTACCGTTCCCATGTCCATGAGAGCGCTCTTTCGTTGCGCAACGTATCATACTTCAGTTGTTGCACGCGACGAAGGATAATCTAAATCACGGCGGGAGTTTCATACCGCAAATCCGATCGAAACTATATTCGATTCCAAAATCCCTATAAGGCATTTAGATTTAGATAGAAATCCGCTTTATACGGAATTCGGCACTCATAATCACAGCCAGTCCGATATGGTAATCGAAACTTGAATAAAAAACCTGGTCTTGATCTGAAGTTGAAAGCCGATTTCTACTGAAATCGGCATTTTAAGAATGAATTTACATACAGGTCCGACCGATACCCAAAATATCAGTCCGATCGAAACCTAAATCGTTACTTTAAGAGTCGAATTAAGTATCGACCTACATCATACTTGAAGTTCAAACTACGTTTCTACTCAATTCACGGTGACAGTACACGGACCGAGCGAAGACCGACCGGGTACCGTGCGATCACAGGGCTCACCGTTCCTTCTAAGTCCGGTGATGGTCTGCTGTCATCGGTCGGTCATCGTCAATCTCGCCGTACAGTGGATGTCCAAAGAGCGACCGCAATAACAGGAACTACGAGGCGTGACTATGTAGTATTATACAATGGTGTATGAAAATATAGAATACAACTAACGCAAGATG